ACTCGAGCAACTACAACGAAAGCAAATATCGCCATTTGTGGGCAGGCATCGGAAGCCGAGGTGACCGGAGCATCATCCGCTACAACCACATCGAAGACACGGACGGGGCGGGTGTCCGTTTAGGAGGCCACACGGTGGACGGCATTGAGTACGGCGCCAACAACCAGGTGCTGGTGTGACCTCAGGCATACACCGAGAGTTCTGAGTGTATGCGATGGAAAGGTGCCGCGGTTTCCCCCACACGGGTAGCGCTTGTTTTTGTGACATTCAAAGGCTGGGCCAAGGAAGGTTCGTCCGAGGAAGTTTCATCTCACCCGAATATTTACTTCTGTCGTCAACGTGGTGGGTGTCCAACAGTAGGACGCTGCTCTCACCGTGAGTCAGATACTTCTTTGACCCCCATCCTACCTCGGTTGAAAGGCTGAATATTTCGCACCGTTACACAGACACGCACCTACCTGTCGACGGCTTCCCCAGGTCCCCCAGGAACTTGAACGCCGAGGGCGACATCGCCTCGTCGCCGATTTCGGATAGATAGTGTTTTCGAGCCGGAACATCTTCCCACGCATCGACTTGGAAGAGATGAGACGGTGTCGAGCGAGTCCACATACAACAGTCAGTGATGATTCAACCAACTCATACGCGAACCACGGCCTCCCGTCCCTCCTCCCGCCCCCCCGGCCCTCTACCTATCCGGCCCGTCCGCGCATGCAACAGGTATACGAAAACACCATGGTCAACTGCCGGGCCTCCGGCATAAAGGTCATGGTTACTCCCCAGGGTCAGATCTGCGGCAACGACATCGAGGTTCCTGACACCGATGATGACGCCGACGTGAGTGTTGAGCCCTAGATTGGAGACCGATATTTTCCCTGGCCTGCTGTTCTGGTGGGTACGATACTCAAGGGTGGCGGGGGGCGTTACGGCCATCGATCACAAGTACTTGGTGGATACTTCCTTAGAAAAAACCTAGATCATGGGGGTAGGAGCCGCTTTTCTGGCCTCCAAGGTTACTACCGAAACCTGACATATGTTTTGAACATGACCCACAACACCCGTCTCCATAGTAGAAGAGCACACAATAGGGAGTGGCAAGTGGCTCTGTTGCAGGAATGTAGCTCGGTTCCGCGTCAGTCCCCGCTGAACCACGTCCGATAATGATTGATTCAGAGAACAAGCAGGAGCGCGGCCGCCTTTGCCACTCCTCTGAGCTCCGTCTTCCTCTCTCTCTCTTTCTCTCTCTCGCTTCCTCTCTCTCTCTCTCTCCCACTCTCTTTCTCGCTCTCTCCTTGCACTGGGCGTCATGAACGCAGTACAACTATTCCGGAGGAGCCTACTACTACGACCCGTTGATACCCTGTGACTCTTCGTCCTCATCGGCGCCTGGGTCAACCTCTGCATCGGTGAGCTCGATTCTCTTATAGAATACACTAGCGAGAGAGAACACTAGCAAAAGAGAGACCGAGATACGATGGCGACAAGGCGTAGTGCGATCTACTTGTCTTGCTGGAGCCGTCCATTCGATCGCGAGATGTAGGTGTGGGCCGTTCGTTCTTTGCTCGGGTAGCGAGACTCGTCCATTGTCTCCGATGTGCTGCTTGGTATCACAACTCCAGTAAGGTCTTGGCGCGTTCTGATACCAAACGTTTCGAATCGGCTGTCATTTGCATTTTGCCGTTTACATAGAAGTCGAAGTACCCGCAGCACCAGGTAGCAGTAATCTCTGGTTGTTCCGCTCTGTTGGGACTGGAAGCCGCTTGGTCTAGTTGTATTATAGGCTCCGCTTGGTCTTGTTGTATTGTAGGCTCGACACTTGATATTCGGGCGACCATGCATGGATAGATGCGCGGGAGGGAAGTTAAACACCGCCGAGGCGTGCAATGGGCGATTCACCCTCTGGCGTGGAAAGGTTCGGTTCGTGCATGCATGTGCGTGTGCACTTAGGGGCAGGGTGTGAGCGAAGCCCTCCTCATGGGTGCAAGGCGGCGGCATGCGGGCCGCACAATATATCCGTGGCCGACGCGACCACGGGCCTTAGTTCTTCAGCCAAAGAGGCAACATTCGTGGAGTAGTGTAGCGCATAATAGGTAATGCAGAGTGCGCCCCATAGTGATACACTCCAGATGTGAGGATGGAAACGAACTACATGGAAAACAACGACTACAGTAACCCTCATAACAAGCGCGTTTCGTTGTCGTGTGCCCAGGTGACCCCGGCACCTGAGCCAACGCCCGAGGCAACGACCGAGGCATTTGCCGAGGCAATGAACGAGGAATCCTCCGAGCCAACGATCGAGTCAACAATCGCGCCAACGCCTGCGGCAACGCTCGAGCCAACGACCGACGCCAACGCCCGCGGCAACGACCGTCCCGACGTCTGAAGCAACGATCGCGCCAACGATCGCGCCAACGCCTGCGGCAACGCTCGAGGCAACGCCTGCGGGAACGCTCGAGCCAACGGCTGAAGCAACGATCGCGCCAACGACCGAGCCAACGACCGAGCCAACGGCTGAAGCCGGTGAGTATTTCCGAAGACAGACCAATCCTCCTGCCCTTGCTGTACGCTACCACTCAGTATGTTAGAATGTATGCCATAATGGTATGGGACATTACAAGAATGATACTGTAGTCCCAATGTGCCCCAAAATTCCAAAACCGAACGGCACCGATACTTAGGGGAAATCGACCGCGTTGTACGCTGGGTTGGGGAGCCAAAATTCGGGTATGAGTGGGGATAAGTATCCAACCATCATGATCCACAGCAAGTAGCCCACACGCACACACAAATAGCCATCTGGCGGCGGGGCGCGTTTGAAGGCCTCCCTGAAAGGGCGACGTGAAGAAGGCGGTGCAGAAACAATACAGGGTACAAGAAATCTAAGCGATCGAAAAGGAGCGCGTACACGAGCATTGGACCTATTGGCGTCGCCGTGCTATCTGTTGGGCAGTCACGCCGAAAAACATACATGATTCACAAGAGCAGGGACAACTCGTAGCGGGAGAGAGTGTTCCACACAGGAAAACCGACAGATGGTTCGAAAACGTGAGGGGGAGCCGAAACGACACTACTGTAGTTCTTGGCCGACGCCAACAATGACGAGAAAGCAGAACATGCTTGCTGTGCGAAGTATTGGCAGACTGTTCCACTAGGAAGTCCCAGTATTTTGGAAGACTGCTGATAATGCGGGAGAAGAGACAACGACAGCGACGTCTTGGCATAGAACAGCAGCAGGGGAACTGTCACCCACCGCATGGCCGAAGGATGAAAACATATTGTATGGAAAGCGTGCTATTGAGCTACAGCAGTATAGTGGGCAACATGAGTTTGGGGGAATAATACATAGCAGCACAACAAGTCCATCGAAATGAACACGAAATGAAGTAGTAGGCTGCGGTCCCGTACGTGTTATTGAGAAGCTTGGTTGGTCGCCCTGCTGCGCCACTAAAAAACAACAAACGAGCACACTCCGTTCCAACTATCACCAACATTTTTCGCGTACTTCTCGCGCCCGCACGACCCGATCTCCAACCCGTACGTTTCAAGAAACAGAGAGTACGTGTCGCGACGGCATTGAGGGCATCGACGGCCGCGTCGTCTGCTGCCCGCTCGAGTGTGGCCAGTGCGGAGGGACGGGATGCAGCACTTCTGGCGCCGCGTACGGTCTTGGCGCTGACTCTTGCTGTAGAGAACCGGTCAGTTCTAGCGGCAAATACTGTGACGACACCGGCGAAGCCCCATGCATCTACGGCAGTGCCCCCGATGCTGACGACGACGACGACAACGACGACACCAACGAGGGTGATGCTGAGGACGACGATGACGAAGGTGAACGCCATAGCATTCTGGTAGCCCAAACATCCTGTCCGCTTACAGTGGCTATGTGCCATGAGCAAGGATATGCGTCGGGGAAAATCTTGATGGCAGTGCTGCCTGCACCTCAAAATTTCGAACTCACCATCACAAAACAAAACCGAAATTCATTGGACTTGCCCGTTTCAAAACAGAGAGTACGTGCAGCAATGGCCTCGAGGGCATCGACCACAGAGGCGAGATCTGTTGTTCGCTCGGGTGTGGCCAGTGCGGAGGTCCAGGATGCGACGCTTCGGGCGCTTCGAACGGTCTCGGCGCTGAGTCTTGCTGCCCACCAGAGGTGCACGATAGCGGCAGATACTGTGACGACACCAACGAGGCCCCGTGTATCATTATAGCCGACGACGACCACAACGACGACGACGAGGACGACGACGACGACCATAACGACGACAACGACGACGATAACGACGACGATAACGACGACGACGACCACGACGACCACGACGACGACGACGACGACCACGACCACGACGACCACGACGACCACGACGACGATAACGATGATAACGACGACGACGATACTGCCTGAAGGGGGAGTATGAATCGGAGACCTAAACGTAGAGCGCCACATTTTTCTTCACCGTCAATCTCGTCCTATTCCGGGCGGATGTCTGCGCATTTTTTTAACGACCACCTGTGCGGTGGCATTTTCCATCAACAACAGCGGGATCGTGTAAGTGGGCGATGGTCGCAAGTGCATTCCCATCGACCGGGGGGCAACTAGTGTCTCCTTTTTGTTTACGTTGCAACCTATTGTCTCGCCGGATCCTCGTTGCATTGTTGCTGCCTGTGGAGGGAGTGTTTTTGAGGTATTCAGGCGTCGTTGCCACGTACCACTCATCAAGCGAAACTGTTCGTTGCATTCTGGTAGTCTAGGAATAACCATTTAGCCTGTTTCGAGGCCCCCCTTTTTGAGTCGAGGCCACGTCTTACGAGACGCGAATATGCCTCTGAAGCAGGACCGAAAGTCCGGACAAGTTTTTGACTCGGCTCATTAACCCTGAAGCGTGCACTGCCTCGCATGACGGGTGCCTGCACAATGTTGATACTATTTAGTCTACAATAGTTGCATGTTAGGTTTTTTTCAGCTGTTTTTTTGCTCAGGTATGGGTGTGCAATGCACGTAGGGAGGTGCTTTTTCTTTACCCCATCGACAACGTCGTCAATTGTTTTACAACCCGTTGTGACGGTGTTGCTTAGTTACCCATCTCGTAGGAGTACCGCTACTGCGGTATTATGAGTATGGTGTCGATGAAGTATATAGGCATTACTTTCTTTTTGCGAAGCAGCATATACTGTAGTACAATATGCAGGTCTTGTTTTTGGTGTTGGGTGATGTTGGCTGTTTCGTGGTTTCGAGGAGACACTCACGACACATGCTGAAGATGTTTTTGGTCGTGATGCGATTTTGGTCCACCACCGCTCGAGTTTGAGTTGATGTTTTGAAGAAAAGCTCGATATCGTGTCCGCATGCATGTACTGCATAGTCAGGGTTACGTGTCAAATTAAATTAATATTTTAAGCCTGGGTGCGCGTTTAAAGCCGACAGGTTGTTTGTTTTGTTCGGCACGACGGGTGGGTCTAATCAAATAGCACGAGAGGAGCGTGTGAGAATAGGTACATAATGGAATGCATCGTGCACGTGAGGGTTCGCGTGAGAGTTCGGGGTCGTTTGTGTACCCGTAACATACTGTTTCCGAGAAGCACTATCTTTCATAGAGGAGGGGGGGGGTGGCCAAGCCCTATTCGAATTCCAATTGTAAGAAGAAACTCAGATGTGTCTCGCATCTACAGTAGTTCGATGTGCCCATGGACAACCTCCTGTCCAAAAGCGGAACCTTCTTGTTTCTCGCGTCGACTGCTAAACCTCTGGGCCTTCGCTAGGATCGAGATTGATGCTCCTGGGTTATTCAGTGACTGGAGAACATGCATCTCTGCATGGTTGGATAGTTGAACTGATGATTTTGTTGACACAAACGGCCAGATTTTGACAGCCGTTTCTGGTGGCTTGTTTTCCTTTCTCGGCGCACGCGTTCTTTCTGCTGCGTCTTTCAGCGAAGACCAAATTCAGCAGGCACCGCTTCGTCGTGTTAGTTACAATATCACTGAAGGATTGTCGGAGTACTACCGGAGACGGACACATCTCGAGGAGATGTCCTCGACCCCTTTTACCAGCCAACCAGGTCCATCCCCCGACCAGTTCGGTCTCAAGACAGGTAGTTTCTAGAAGCACCTCATCCCGAGTCCCACCATTGCAAAACGCAAAATAATTAGTTGTGTTGGCCTTCATTCGTCGCTCTCTGGCGATATTATACCGAACCAAAAGCATTTCGTTCTTTTCTTGGACGGAAACTTCGCAACAATTTCCACGGCATTTCAAACATGAATCGACGACGTGTGAGTTTCAAACGTTTACTGCGGAATAGTTGTCGACGATGTAGAGGTTGGAATGAAAGGAGGCCTCCGCTACGCCATGGGACCCACGGATACTTCATGTTGATGACCTTCTATTTCTTGCTGTTGTCCGACTTTTTTCCCCATACTTCTCGATCGAAGACAGAGGAACCTGAAGTTCACGAAGCTACAGCGACCGCCATTCATTGCCCTTGGTTATCCAAAAGCCGAAAATCGTTCGGTGCGTTCTTCTTGCAACGGGAGATCGACTGTCTCCATGTACAACCGCTCCTCTTCCTCATGCTGACTCTGAACTTGCCCGCACCTAGCAGCAACACCTCCCCCTTGTATCGTGGGTCCGACATATCGCTGTGCAAACCCGTGCGTTTTCCATCCCACAAAGCCCATAAGGGCTTCTCGTGCAGTCCCCGCCAACGACTGGTTCACCGCTCCGCCTACCCTCAATAAATGCATAGTTTACTGGTACCTGCATCTCCCAGACGGCCTTCGTGTATGTGAGCTTGTAACGACGCTGTCGTGCTGCCGACCACTGTGACGACCCCCTCAAGCCGTCGGCGTTGACCTTGGGTAACAAGCACCGTATCGCTCGCAATGGACAGAGCTCGGTACACTGGCGGTCTCGTCTAACCGCCACCGCATGCGACGAGCTTCTCAGGGTCTTGCCGAAGTGAAAATTGAAAAGCATCCCTGTCCCGTCGGGAAGGCTCAAGACTTGTGCCGCCAACGCGCGCGCCAAGTCGAACCATCGTTGCATCGTGTGAACGCAGTGATGAACAGCGCGATGTCTCTACTGCGAGCCACACGCTCGCCCACCGTGTACAGGTGGTTCCCCGTCTTGCGCATGTACCGTGCAAGACGCAGGAGGAGTGGGGCGGGCATCGGTCTGGCATGCTTAACTGTAATCCCCACTCGGCGCTGCTCTGCTTGATCCCCCTCGGACCGCCGTGCTATCGGCAGCGTCACCTCTCTTCTCACATTTGTATCCCACGGATCTGACTTCCCCAATATCTCCGACATTGCACACTTGAGTTTCGACACAAACGCTTTGTCCTATGTTTGGGCTGCGTGCCGGTTCGCGCCAGTGCTATCCTTTCGACACGCCGCCAACGAATTGGACCAGATCTCAGTGCAGTCGACCGCATGAACCACCTTCGTACCGTTGCCGTGAGAATCAAGCCAGCAGAGCCAGTCCTGCACATCGACGTCGGTAGCACTTTCCATCCCCGATTCCCGTCCGTGTGCGCTCTGAGGAACGCATCAAGCTTATCCGCCACGGCGCATTTGCGTTGCTGACTGGCCTTGCTCCTCAGGGATGCTAACACGGTCTCTTCACGCGCGGTGCTAAGCGGGACTTATCGATGACCACGGTCGCCCCAGGTACCCGAGGTTCCAAACACCTGGAACGGGGGCGTCCCACAGTGTTGGCAGAAGTTGAACGTCGCGTCGTTCTGGGCCCTGCAGTACGTACTACACAATACTTGCGGTATCCTGTCCTGTACGAGCGGGGCTCTGGAGGGAACCCGCTGGAGGACCCCCGCCACATACTGCTGATGACACAATGAAGACGAACACGACCATTAAGAAACAAGGAAATGACGGCAACCATATCTCGAAAGTCCAAATCCACCGCTCGCATTCCGTGTCGTACATTGACACAGTCTCGTACTCCTTCCTGATGGTAAGGATATCCGAAACTCCCGTTCTCGGTAACACGAACGATTTCACCGTGGCTCGTAAGGCTCGCGGCCACCGAAAATCTCGTACATCTGGCACACCACGGCGGCGTGAAACTCGGCACTCGGACAGATGTTGGATATTGTGTCTCGCCATGACGAGAGGCGGTAAACTGTACCCGAACGCCGGCGTGCCCAGCCCCGGCGTCGCATGGCGAACCTCTTTCCACACCGTGGCCAAACCCTGCTACCCTATAAGCTTTCGTGGTTAGGTGCAATTTCGTGGATCTATGTATGTAGTCTAAGGGCTCCTCACACCGATTGTGGTTCCATCACCGGCACACTTCTTCCCACACATGAACGACCCTGGCGGTAATAGCGTTTGGAACAATATCGCCAGAGAGAGCGACGGAAGAAAGGCAAGATAACGCCTGCAACGCAAGTACCGGGCAACCATCAAGTCCCGCCGTCGGAGGCAGCATGCTGTATCGCCGATTCTATCAACAACCCTCGACGTAGAGCACAACACCCCGCATCTGAACATGTCAACAACCGTCGTAGGAAACATCGCGCCAATAGAGCCGGCCACTTTAATGTGGCGCCACGAACATCACCACCAGGACAGGATCGCTAGTAGTCTGTTTTCGACTACTGTACCGAGTAGACTATCTACCCAACGGGCTTACGTGTGGACCTCACATCGTCGAAGACTTACCCTCTTATTTCGTGCCGATGTAATCATTGCCTCTCATCTACTTCTTCTGCCCCACTGGGGGGCGGGGGGGCAATCGTTCCCCCTAGTCTAGTACCTAGACTACGTACCAGTCAACGAGATGCACCCTTGAAAATACATGACCACCGTAGTGTCAATGATCAGCTGAGGTGGTAGTAGGTGAGAAAATCTTCAAACATGGATACACATGTGTACATGTAAGATGCCTATCTCTGCCGTCACATAAATCAATGACGACGTGTGGGCAAAGCATCAAGAAAAATCGTACCGTGTAGCTTGGAGCGGGTGAATTGCCCACCTGAACGCTGCGCAGAATATCCAATGCCGTTGTTGACGCATGTGTGCATGTACATCAACCATGAGATAGCGTCTTCCTCGCAACAATGAAGCAAGGACGGTACTTTGTTTCCATCAGGCGATTTTCGTTCGGGTATGCAACAGCTGGTACGCAACAATCGCCGAGAGAACGCAGCTACTACTGTAGATGTTTACACGGAGATAGATGGAGATGAGACTGGTATGCACAACCATTGCACGTAAAAGGTGCTCCATAGATTCTACAGTAGCAGAAAATCGGAGAGCTGAAGCTTTTCTCGACTACCCCTCAGTCAGCTGATGACCATTGACAAAGAGTAGAAAGCTGCTGTAGACTAGCATATCTATAATGACCTAATATTAGTATCATTTTCCAGCGTTTGACGTATCTTGTTAGACTGGTACACATGTTCTGTAGTCTTTTGAGCTCCTGCGGTATTTGATAATCTGAGAAACCGCTTCTTCCTCCCACGGCTACAAAAAAGTGACAACAATTCCTTCGAGATGAGGCAGGCGACAGCGAGAATGAGGGTCGGTCGTGCGTGCCGTCGTGCGTCCGTGCTCGTACGTGCCAATACAGACGTAAGCGGTTGTAGCTCGCGTAGATGCTAGGACCACGCGTTCCAGTCAAGAGAACAAGGAACCGAGTCAATCAACATATACCACGAACGAGTGAAGTCTGTTGTTGTA